GCTTACTGGACAAGATGGGCTTTCTCCCCTTCCTCATCCTCACCCTCTTTCCTTCCTCTCTGTTCTGTGCTATCAGATCCACTGGAGTTGGCCCTCAACCTACCCACCTCTTGCCCACCCTCTCCTTCCCCTGGAAAGCTCATCCCCTCTAAGGACAGCACCCTTCTCCTGAGTTTCCAGTCCCAAAGGACTCCTTAGATGGACTCTCATTTTCAAGCCATCTCTTGGACATGTGTGTTAATGGTGGTTCCCTGGCCACTCAGGGAAGACATTGCCTACTGGTAAGGGGGTCCAGGCACATAAGTCCCACCCACCCACATGTCACTGGGGTGTTTTATGTCCCCATTAAACACCTCCTCCAATGAGCTAAAAAACATCACCACCAAAAATGGCTTTCGTGCTAACAGTTGCAAGATGTTCCTTTCCTTGGAGGTACCATAACTTGCTTAAGATGATTCCTGTTTCTGGCTTTTAGGTTGCTCCTAACCTTTCCATATAAAAAGAAATACAACCAACATGCTTTTACCAATGCAGCCAGCTTTCTTTTACAAACCCTGTTGCACATGTGCATGTATATTCCCAGGCTCCATTCAGAGAGGGTGTGGTTCTGGATCTGCATCTGCATATTGAGGACATAGCACCAGGGACATTCTGCCCTGGAATGGTGTAAGGGATGGTGACGATGAATGCAAAGACTTCTCCTAACCATGTCACAGCTCTGTGCCTTCCCCCTCCCCCCCAGTAGGGATGTGAGTGTGAAGAGTGATATGGAGCTCCGCTCTGGCACAAAAATTGAGGACAGTTTTATAATCCAACAGGTGTTCAAGCCGAATGTGATGTGCATTTGAACAAGATCTGCCAAAGAGACGGCAAAGACGGAAAACAGTGTTGCCCTGTCATGGAGTCCAGCAGAGGCAGCTCATCAAATCCAGTGTTTTGAGATTAATAATAATTAGTCCTCTAGTCCTCTAGCAGGAGGACTTGACAGCACCACATGTCACACAGAGATCATCCGGCTTTATGTCAGGAGGCAGCTGTGCAACACTGAGTTGAGCTCCTGCCCTCCTTCAGGAGCTGGGAATGGGAATGCCACCACCTTGATTTTACCTGGTCCTTCACACACTTCACACTCACACTCCTGGTCCTCCAGAAACATAGGCCTGGGCCGCAGAACTGGCAAGAGGCTTACTTACTTTCTAAAAATGTTGACAAAGGAAAACTTATATGTTCTCTAAAGAAAGGCCCTAAAGACTCCTAACTCTGGGAAACGAACTAGGGGTGGTAGAAGGGGAGGTGGGCGGGGGGAGGGGGTGACTGGGTGGCGGGCACTGAGGTGGGCACTTGACGGGATGAGCACTGGGTGTTATTCTGTATGTTGGCAAATTGAACACCAATAAAAAATAAATTTATTATTTTTTAAAAAAGGCCCTAAGCAACAGGAAAGATGTTTCTTCCTGTGTCTTCAACAGGGAGAATTAAGCCCTTGATCATCTCTAATTGCCTTCATGCATTCAGATCTCCCCAGGCATCCCGAGGTTACGCTGCCAATTCAGTGGCTGGACCAGCAACCTCCACTCCTGAGTTCTACCTGGAGAGACTAATGCTACTGCTTCAGTCCCAGCACTCCAACTCCCAGACCATCCCCCCGCTGCCCCTGGTAAGCACCATGCTAATTTTCTACTTCTACGAACCTGGCTCCTTTAGAAACATCGTAGCAGTGAAACCACATGGTCTTTGTCTTTGCAACTGGCTTGTTTCACTTAGCCTAGTGTTTTCAAGGTTCATCCATTTGGTAACAGGTGTCTTTCCTGCTTAAGGCTGAATAACATTCCACATTTCCTTTATTCATTCATCTCTGATGGACACTGAGCTGCTTCCACCTGTGGGCTGTTGTAAATACTGCATGTGAGCATAGGTGGAACACAGTCTGGTGTTCTCCAAAATGTCATACGTAGGGTTACCATGTGACCTACCAGTGCCGTTCTTCGGTGTGTATCAACTGAGTTTTGTGGACCTCATTTTCTGGTTTATTTGGGTGGCAGTGTTTGATAAGTGATGTTTGCACCTGTGTACTTCTGTAAACAGGGTTGTGACTGGGAGGATTTGTGCGGTTCCTGTTGACGTGTGTTCCTAGATAATGCACTTGGTTGCTCTTGTAAAGATTTTTTTAATTAAAGATTTCTGTTTATTTGAGAGACAGCACAAGCAAGGGGAGCAGCAGAGGGAGAGGGAGAAGCAGACCCCCCACTGAGCAGGGAGCCCGATGAGGGGTTCAATTCCAGGACCCTGAGATCATGACCTAATGGGCAGACTAAGCCACCCAAGAGCCCCTGTAAAGATTTTTTTAGTGCAAGTGTGCCCTCTGCTGATAGCATAGAAAAGTACAACTTTTCACTAGCTACTTCTTGCAGGGAGGTAAAGAATAAGGAGAAATGTCATGGCCTTGATTTTTTTTTCCTTTCTTCTTGAAAAACCCTAATTTCCCCATTTCTCCCTTTTCTTTTCACCATGCAGTATCCAAAAGGTGCATCTCCCTGTTTGTGAGTCTCTCACAGAATGGTCTGTGCCCTGATCTGAACGCTCTTTTGACTACTTGCACAGCTTTCTCCTTCCGGATGTTGGTTTTCACCCAATTTTCTACCTACCAACAGCACTGGCCTCTCTCTTTTGCATCCATGTGGCATCCATGTGATACATCCAGACAGAATTCCCAAAGTCCAAAGAGCAATATGAAGGGTCTGACAGCGCCTTGGGTTTCTTTTTGGGGAAAAACAAAACAAAAACAAAAAAAGAACCCCACCCCTGCAGCATCATCTTTTCACATTTGGTTCTTTGGTCCACTTATTGGTTTGCCACGATGCTCTCTCTGGACTTCTGTCAGTTTGGGGTTGTTGGGGGTTTTTTTAAGGCCCATTTTTATTATCTTTCATCTCTCTGGGGACTCTATTCAGGGCTGTGAGTCACCTCAAAGCCTCCAGGAGAGTAAGCATGGGTTATGTGGCTTGTGAGTCAACGTTTGCTGTCCTTGGGGTTTCTCAGTTCCAGAAAGGAAGTGGATGCTGGTTGTGAGGGTTTGTGGCTAGACTTAACCCCAAGCCACGTTGTATTTGTCTACGCAAAAGATAAGTCCCTGTGAGAACAGCCACCCCAGTCAGCTAGGCTTCACATTCCTGCCATCCAGGGCCATATCCCCCACAAATAGGGGCTTCCAAATCAGACTGGATCTCAGATCTTCTTGCTAAGACCCCAGAGTTTGTTTGGTTTTTGTTTTTAAGTGAACTCCATGCCCAAAGTGGGGCTCACATTCAATCCCGAGATCAAGGGTCACATGCTCCTCCAACTGAGCCAGGCAGGTGCCTCCCCAAGTCTTTTCTTTTTTTAAAGATTAATTTACTAATTTGAGAGAGAAGGAGATTGAGTATGAGTGGAGGGGAGAGGCAGAGAGACAAGGAGAGGCAGGCTCCCTGCTATTCAGAGATCCCAACACAGGACCCGATCCTAGGACCCTGAGATCATGAACTGAGCCAAAGGCAGATGCTTAACCAACTGAACCACTCAGGCGCCTTCACCCACTCCACAACCAGGACTTTTTAAAAAGCAAATAGTGGGGAGTTAGTGGTAACATCCACTCACTTCATTTGACTTGCCTGAAGCAAAGCAACCCCAGTGACACTGATTCTGCTTCATAGAAGCGGCAAGGAATTGATGAAAGATATCCCGGGCAGTTCACACCCGAGAAAAGCTAAGGAAGCAGGTTTTGAAGAGGATGGTGTAGTAGGCAGAACAGTGGCTGCCCCAAAGAGGTCCACGTCCTAATTCCCAGACCCTATTACTTTGCATGGCAAAGGAGAATTAAGGTAGCTGATGGGATTCAGTGGCTCACCAGCTGACGTAGAGGGGAGAGGTGATCTTGGATCACCAGACAGGCCAAATGGCATTACCAGGGTCCTTAAAAGACGGGAAGAGGGAGAAAGATGTCAGTGTGAGGACTTGGTCCAAGGTGGCTGGCCCTGCAGAAAGAGGAAGGGCCAGGAGGTTAGGGATGTGGCGCCCCCAGGAGCTGGTCGAGACAGGAAGCATTCTCCCCATTGAGAATCCAGAAGCAACACAGCCCTGGCTGACACTTGACATTCGCCCTAGGACCCATTCTAGGCTTCTGATGTCCAGAACGTGGAGAGTAAGTGTGCATTGTTGAAGCCACCCAGTTTATGGCCATCTATTACAGCAGCCCTGCAAAGCTTGAACACACAAAAGCCCACAGACATATTTGGAACAAAAGTTACTAGTCTTGGTGTAAGCCCCACCAAGATGCAAAATCAAGAAGGTCTGGTTGGTCTTGCTTGAATCACATCCACGTGCCCACTCCCCAGATATGCAGACACGGGACCCTGATTGAGAGACCCACCCAAACTGTGGACGACAGGCTGGCAGAGAGCCCATGCAGGAGCTCCCGGCTAGGTGAGCAGGTGGAGGAGCAGGGAGCCACGTGCCCAGGGGCAGCAAGGCTCTGTGCCCTGTGTGCCTCTGCCAGCCCAAGGCTGTCATTACTGATGTCACCGATGATGGGATGTCTCCTGACGACATAAGGCATCTTGAAGGACCCAGCATCACTCCTGTGGTATTACCAAAAACACGTAGCCTAAATTAATCATTAAGTCACAGGCAAACCCAAATTGAAGCACTTTCTATAAAACACCTGGCCAGGACTCTTCAGAAGTATCCAACTCATGAAAGAGAAAGACCGTTCAATTTAAAGCAGGTTATGGAGACATGCCAACTAACGCAAAGTGTGATTCCAGGTTGGATACTGGCTCAGAAAATAATTTTGTGGGTTTGGCGGGGGGTGGGGGGGTTGCTATAAAAGACATTGCCATTGATAAAATTTCAGTGTCTATAGATTGATATCAGACCTTAGCACCATTATTTTCTTGATTTTGATCATTGTATTTTTGTTATGTAGTAAATACCATGACCTCCAGACAATCTTTTTTTTTTTTTTAGATTTTATTTATCTATTCATGAGAGATACACAGAGAGAGGCAAAGACATAGGCAGAGGGAGAAGCAGGCTCCTCACAGGGAGCCTGATGTGGGACTCGATCTCAGGGTCCTGGGCAGACATTCAACCACTGAGCCACCCAGGTGTCCCTCCAGATGAATCCTATACATATTTAGAGAACCAGAGGTTTCGAGGTTACTCTCAGACTACTGTACTATCAGCAGAAGTGTTTCTCAAACTAGTTTTTCCCTGATCCCACAGTAAGAAATGCACACATTGTATAAGGATATGCACATGCATGTGATCTATGTATGTGTGCTGTGCATGTATGTGTATCCCTGTGGTGGACAGGCTCCAGGGGTTCCCAGCTCGTGGCTGCCCCAGCTCTCGGGCCCCCCAGAGGGTGGCTCACAGCACTATTGCAACAAGGCAGTACATGCTAGCAGTACAGATGCCCGGCAGTAACCTAATCCCAGAATCAGACATTCCGTCAGCTTCACTCTGTTCTTTTCACTGGAAGTGAGTGGTTGGGTCCTGCACACAGGTGGAGGTCAGAAGGCATGGAGAGGGGGAGGTGGGGATCGTTGAGCTCCAGGCTGGATGGTGCCCACCCAAGTCCGTTCATCCCAAACATATCCTTTGGCTGTTGTGGTCTGATGTGGTAGCAAAAAGAAAACTGTATTTATGAAGCTTTGAGCCGTCTTCAACTCCCCTTCCTCGGCACTTTTGGCATTTGGGGAAGGGCCATTTTGGGGAAGGGCCATTTTGGGGAAGGGCCATTTGCTGCTGAACTGCATATCCTAGGACATGGAACAGTATCCCTGGCGTCCACAAGGATCTCAAATGGTACGGGCTTTTTAATGTTAAAATATTTGTATCTTGATTACTGAGCTTTTTGGCAGGCCCCCACCCCCCACCCCACCCCAGGTCTGTGCAGGAGCTGAGTGCCAGCCCCGTTTCTGTCACCCGAGCCGCACAGCTGTCCCGAGCAGGACTGGCATCTGTGTGGGCCTGTCCTCAGGGGTGTCCCGGCAGCTCGGCCAGGGTATGGCACATGTAAGTGAACATTCAGCAGCAAGGAACGCACAGCTGCCACTGACCCAGCCAGGCGACAACTCATTCATCACCACGCTGTCCTGTGAGGTAGTCAGGTTATTCTGCACATTCACAGTGGGAGAAACCGAGGCTCAGAGAGGGGACTGAGGGTGTGCACGGTCCCACAGGGAACCACGAACCTGACTGGGTCTGGCAGACAACTTTCCCAATGGCCACACGGGTCTGCACCGTGGCCACCAGTGGCCCTCCTGACACGGCCACACCGGAGGGAGCGGCCTCCTCCCTCAGCGATTCCCAGTTACACGCTCAAGGCAGGTGTCTGACGGCCAGATGCGCACCTGCCACTGCCTGAGAAGAAAAGGGCAGCTACTGATCCCTACCAGCGTGCCGTGCGCATGGCAACCAGCGTTCTTTGGGCAATACTGCCTCCTAGAGGACCCTCTGGGCATGACAGCAGTAGTCTTGAGGCTCGCACGAACAACACTGCCACCTAGAGGGTGACGTGGGCATTTCGGTCAGCGTTCCGTGGGCAACACTGCCACCCAGGGGACGCTGCAGACAGAGCGGCCAGCTTGGGTGGGCCTTGCGGCTCCGTCCTGGTACTCCGCCTCCCACGTGGTTTTCACACCTGCTCCCTGAGATTATTTAGGGAGGGGCTGCCCCCTCACTGAGGAAACACCTGACATCTCCAAGCCCACCAAGCGGGCACTTTCAGCCCAAAGCCTCTGGGCTACCTCTTCATCCTCAGCTTCGGGGGCTGGAGCCTTCTCTTTGAGTCCATCAAAGTACTTTCCAGAAACACCCTCCAATTCCTCTGCCACGGCCAGGTACGTGCTGGGCTGGGCTGCCAGCTGGGGGCTCTTGACCAACAGCCAGAAGATGGGCCCTGCAATTAGCCCACAGAGCATTCAGTCCACACACGTTCAGGGAGGAGGACATGAACACCCCACTCTCCCCCCAACACCCCCACCCCCACCCCAGGATTGCCTGGGGTCCAGAGGCCAGAGGTCACACTGCAGTCCCACACAGCCCACCTCCAGGCCTGTGCCTCTGAGGTTCCCTCCACCGGGAGCTCCTTTCCCTGGCACTGCCCAGCCAAATCCCTCCAGACATAGAGACCAGCCCAAATGGGGCCTCTTCCAGCAAGCCTCCCCAGCTTTTCCCCAGGCAAATGGAGGCTCAGTCATCTCTGAGTCCTTACCCTATCCCACCTTGCTTTAAAAGAGCTTTTATTGGGATCCCTGGGTGGCGCAGCGGTTTGGCGCTTGCCTTTGGCCCAGGGCGTGATCCTGAAGACTCGGGATCGAATCCCACGTCAGGCTCCCGGTGCATGGAACCTGCTTCTCCCTCTGCCTGTGTCTCTGCCTCTCTCTCTCTATCTCTCTGTGACTATCATAAATAAATTAAAAAAAAAAAAATGTAAAAAAAAAAAAAAGAGCTTTTATTTATTAAATGTCTCTGGGGCCAGGCTCAGCTTAAAATCCTTGCTATCTGGCACCCACCCAGTAAATTATTTTCAGGATTACAAATACTAGTTCTAAAGTTCTAATTAATGTTGGCAAATTGAACACCAATAAAAAATAAATTTATATTAAAAATAAAATAAAAAATAAAGCTCTAATTATTTATTCAGTTTAAAGCTGGTCAGGTGGGGCTGCCCGGGTGGCTCAGCGCTCAGCGGTTTAGCGCCACCTTCAGTCCAGGGTGTGATCCTGGAGACCCGGGATCAAGTCTGACATCAGGCTTCCTGCATGGAGCCTGCTTCTCCCTCTGCCTGTGTCTCTGCCTGTCTCTCATGAATGAATAATTTTTTTTATATTAAAAAAAAAAAGCTGGTCAGGCCCTGGGCTGGCCATTTTAAGTGTGAGGAGGGCACTAGGATGGCCCTCCTGTGTAGTTAAGGCAACTAAGGACCTAAGAGGTGAGGCTGCTTCCCCAGGTGGCACAGTTTGTTTGGGGTGAAGGTGGAGTCGCCCCAAGCACAACCAGGAAGCAGCTCCATAATCCCCTCCTCTGGAACTCAATTTCTTATCAAACAGCATCTAGCCTATTTCCTGGGGCTATTCTGAGGCCACCAGGCTGGATACACATGTAGACTCATGCTTGGCATCCCAGGAGATACAGGGGAGGGGGCAGAGCGAAGCCGCTCATGTAGTCTCTGAGTGTGATATTAGTTTTGTATCAATTTGACTGAGCCAAGGGGAGCCAAAAAGCTGGCAAAGCCTTCCTCTGGGGCGTGTCCGTGAGGATGTGACCAGAAGAGATCAGTGTTGGAATCAGTAGACCGAGGAAAGAGATCTGCTCTTACCAATATGGGCAGCCACCATGCTCTTAGCTGAGGGTGAGACCAGAAAAAAAGGTGGAGGAATAGCGAATTCCCCCTCTTTCTGCTCAAGCTGAAACATCCATCTCCTGCCCTCGGATATCAGTGCTCCTGGCCTTTGGGCTGGGACCTACACCATCACTCCCCTGGTTTGCAAGCCTCTGGGTTTCGACTGGGATACCAGTTTGGCCTGGGACAGCACCACCATCTTCTCAGGCCTCCAGCATGCAGATGGCAGATCATGGGACTTCTCAGCCTCCATAAATGCATGAGCCAATCCCTCATGACAAATCCCTCCAAGCATCTATATACAGCCTATTTGTTCTGTTTCTCTATAGAACCCTGACTAATATACTGAAGAGAGTCCTAGGCCCTGAGCTGAGAGGGCAGGGGCTCAGCTAAGGGACCCCAGGCCAGGAGGGTTCTTACCGAGTGTGAAACTGGAGAAGGCAGAGCTGTGCATGCCTGTGTGTCTGCCCAGCTCTGTCCTGGCCACCCCAGGGTGCAGAGCATTGACAGTCACGCCTGTGCCTGGGGAGAGAAGAGGAGGGATGAGGGAGTAGGCAAACGTCAGGTTCACACCCCACCTGGAAGGCTGACGTTGCCCATTCTCAGCTCTAGGGCTACCCAGTGCTGTGCCATGTCCTACCTTTGAACCCACAGCACCCTCTTGCTCTGAAACTTCCACATTGAGGGGTTTCATCTTGCATTGCAGCTCTGTTGCACGACTGCCCAGAGCAGAGCCTCCCAAACCTGAGCGTATGTAAAAATCACCCGGAGCACTTGAGACACCCAAACCGCTAGGTTCCACCCACCCCCAGGGAATCTGAAGCAGTGGGTCAGGGTGGGGTGTGAGATGTTGCAGTGGTGACAAGCTCCCAGCCCAGCTGACGTTGCGGGTCCACGGATGCTCTCTGAGGAGCAGGGCAAAGGGTACCTTTCAACTCCAGCTCTGTGCACACTGAGGTCAGATCATTCTTGATCCTGCTGAGCAGCTAGCTGCCAGTAGCAACACCCACCCCACCTCCACTCCCTGAAGCGAGGACCACAACTATCTTCAGACACTGCCAAATGTCCCCGGGGCATCCACATCACCCAAGGTTGAGAATCACTAGCCTAGAGCACCAATGACTTAGATGCCTGTGTGGGATGAGCAGGGAAGGATGCCACGACTGATGAGTGATGTCTGCCTCAGGCACCACCGAACATAGTGGTATGTGTTTCACACATCCACCTGCTCTGTTCTGGGACTGATGCTTGACCTCCTATCGGTCCAGGGTCATAGCAGGACTGTCCCAGGCTCAGAGCTAGAGGAAGAGGAAGGCCAGCGAGGCTCACACACACATACCCTGCAGCCGCCGGCTCAGCTCCTTGGTAAAGAGGATGATGGCCAGCTTACTCTGGCAATAAGCCGCTTTGGTGTCATACTTCTTTTTCTCCCAGTTCAAGTCATCAAATTCTATGTGTCCTGCAACGTGGGCCAAGGACGAGAGGTTGATGATCCGTGAAGGGGCTGAGGCTTTCAGTTTGTCCAGCAGCAAGTTTGTCAAGAGAAAGTGACCTGGGTGAAGGACAACAAAAAAAGAAAATTGTCACTGAATTCTTACCTGGTGCAGAGGATCGTACTGAGAACATTACCTTCTTTGACCCTCCCAATAACCTACGGCTCTCAACAGGGGCCAGTTCTTTCCCCCAGGGGACATCTGGCAATGTCTAGAGTTTTGGTCATCATAACTGCAGAGAGAGGAGGGGGTGTTCCTGGCATCCAGGGAGGCAGCTAGGGATGCTGCTAAACATCCTACAGCACTCAGAATAGCCCCGCAGCAAAGAGTGACCCAGCCCCAGAGGTAAAGCCCTCTTAGAACCCTGTGAGGTCAGCTAGGGGACGGTCTGCCTCCCTTTCTTCTTCAACAGAATGTTTGGCTGTGTACAGGACTGCCCAGTGAAAGACTATGTTTCCCAGACTCCCTTGCAGCTCCATCAGGTCATGTGCATTAGGACCTTCCAGGACCTCAGCATGTGGCCGTATCTGGAGAGAGGTCTTTATAGTGAAAATGAAGTCATGAGGGTGGGCCCTGATCCAGTGATTGGCGCCCACCTGATATCTGTCCCCACCCCGCCCCGCACCCTTACTAACAGAACTCCAGTTACATGTAGGGTGACAACAGGTATACAGAGTAATTGACAGGCAGACAGACTACAGGACAGATGAAGGGTCAAGAGACCAAGAGATGGACGCAGGAGCCAAAGAACTAATGGAGCATCCAGCAGTGAGGAGGCAATTCCCTGAACTGCCAGGTGGCCCCACACCTGGCCACCTAGCTGCCCTGGAGAGTGGAGGAGGACCCCAGTGTGCCTGGCCCACTGGGGACCCTGCCTACATCCCAGGCCCATATAGACACCACATAGCCCTCAGCCTGTGGCCTCACCCAAGTGGTTAACACCAAACTGCATCTCAAAGCCGTCCTTGGTGGTCCAGTGGGGGCACCGCATCACGGCCGCATTGTTGACCAGGATATGAACTTGCTCCTCCTCTAGGAGACAGGGGTGAGGGCAGGTATGTCAGTCGCATGCCTGCCTGTCGCATGCCTGCCTGTCGCATGCCTGCCTGGAGCACCAGCGCAATTGGTATAAAACAACCCCTGCACTGAGCTGAACTGTCCTAAAACATTCAGGCCCACCCAGAGCCTGGGAACGCAACCTGTTTTTGGAAACAGTCCTTGCAAAAAGTAAACAAGTTAAGATAAGGTCACAGCGTAGGCCCTAATGCAGCAGGACAAGGACTGAGGACCATGGGGAAACAGAGGCCATGATGCATCGATGAGCCAAGGATCACTGAGGACCAACGGCCACCGCCAGAAGCTGAAAGAAGCAGAAAGGATCTCCTGGTCCCTTCCTGAGACTGTGATCTCGGACTTCTGGCCTCCAAAACTGAACAAAACAGATCCCTATCTAAAGTCAGCACTGGGGCAGCCCCCATGGCGCAGCGGTTTAGCGCCGCCTGCAGCCCAGGGCATGATCCTGGAGACCCGGGATCGAGTCCCACATCGGGCTCCCTGCGTGGAGCCTGCTTCTCCCTCTGCCTCTGTGTGTGTGTGTGTGTGTGTGTGTGTGTGTGTGTGTCTATGAATAAATAAATAAAATTTAAAAAAATAAAAAATAAAGCCAGCACCGCCCCCTATCCCAGACCCTGGATGCTTCACAGGCAAAGCGACCGTTCCTCTCCGAGCTTCCCTTTCCTTGTCAGTAAAATGGGATGAAAAACAGCACCTTCCTCCCTGTATCAGTTAGCCAGGGCTGCCATAACAAACTATCACATGACAGGCCACTTGAACCTGTTGTGTCCCAGTTCTGGAGGCAGGAAGTGCAGGGTCAAGTGTCTCAGGGCTGTTTCTTCCCAAGGATCAAGGAGTGAGGGAAGAATCTGTGCCAGGCTCTCTCCTGGGCTCACAGGTGACTGGCCACCATCTTCCGGCCTCTTCCTTCGCATCTGCCTGCTTCCTGATTTCCCCATCCTCTGAGGACACCAGTCATTGGATGAGGGCCCACCCCGATGACCTCATTTCCACTTCATCACCTCCGTACAGACCCTCTCTTCCAATCAGGTCTCGTGTTGAGTCCTGGGGGTTAGGACTCCAACACATCTTCTGAGGGAACACAGTGGAACCTGTGACACTCTCACAGTGGTTTTTGGGAACAGCGGGGATAACACACTAGTTATCTAGCACCTAGTAAACAGAGCCTCTGGCTTTATTTGAAGGTGGAGGGAGTCACACAGCCATCAGGAAACCAAGCTCTAGAATTGTCAAGACGACAGTTCAAACCCCCAGCTCTATCCTGAGCAGCGTAGGACCCTGGTAAAGTCACACAGCTTCTCTGTGACTCAGTTTCCCCCTCTGGATAAAAGATAACACTAGAACTTGCTGGTAGAGTAGGAGAGAAAAAGCACCACAGCACCACACATGCAATAGGCTCTGGTTGTATAAAAAAGCCAAGGAAGGGGCGCCTGGGTGACTCAGTCAGTTAAGCCTCCGACTCTTGGTTTTGACTCAGGTCATGATCTCAGGATCATGAGATGGAGTCCCACACTGGGCTGTGCTGGGCATGGAGCCTACTTAAGGTTCTTGTGCGCTCGCGCGCGCGCGCGCTCTCTCTCTCTCTCTCTCTCTCTCTCTCCCCCCCCTCCACCCCCCCCCCCCGCCTCCCCTTCCACTTCTCACTTGCTCTAAATAAATAAATAAATAAGCAAGCAAGTCAAGGGGAGGTATATAGGTACATACACCTGCTTGCTTTATAAATGCACAAACCATGTCCAAAAGGACACACAAGGACACTGGACACATCTAAGGAAAGCATCTGGTAGCTAGCGGCAGGGAGGTGTTTGGCTGAATCACCATTTGTCCTTTCTGAATGTTTAATCCTGTAAATGTTATTCTTGTTCGAAAACATAAAGACGTGAGCCAGTTCTGAAAACATCTGGTGGGACATGAAATGAAAGTGAGTCACCTGTGTGACGAAGTGCAGAAAAAGGCCTGCCTAATCCCTGGATCAGCAAAAAGAAACACCCAACAAGGTCAGTGGGAATTCCAGGTACTCTGTGCTATGCCACATCGTATCCCCCACCGGGCTGGGCGCAGAGCCTGACTCTGACTCCTCTCTGTGTCCCAGGAATCACCCATCACCCATGAGAGCCAGGACACTTCGGAACTGCTGGCTAAGTCAGCACTGCCGCCGCCTTCACCCAGCTAACTCACCCTCCAGCTGCCTGCACATCTGGCCTCACCTGGGCCTCTGCATCCTGTAGGAGCTAAGTGCCGAAGGAGTGCGTCTTCCTACAGAGCAGGGATCCCACAGAGCAAACTTCTCCTATAAAGGACCAGACTAGATTTTTTTGGCTTTGCAGGTCATACAGCCTGTCCCTCTGAACTCTGCTGTCGCCGGTGTGCCAATAAAACTTTATTTACAGATGCTGATATTTGAATTCCATACAGTATTCACATATCCAGAAATACTCTTTTAATTTCTTTCAACCGTTTATGTAAATGGTTGAAACGTAATATATGTTCACATGAGAAGGTCAGAAATATAGAAATAAGAAGGTCAGAAAATATAAGAATGTATAATCGTCACCCGTCCACAAACATGGGCCATGGTCTACCAGCACCACACTCTAGGACTTGTGTCCGCCCAGGACCTACCTAGCCCCACAAGGCCAGCATCCTCCCTCCTACCTTCAATGATCTTCGCTGCAAACTCTCGGATGGACTTGAGAGAGGCCAAGTCCAGGTGCCAGGCACTGACACGGTGATTAAGGGTTTCCCCACGAATCTCCTTTGCTGCTGCCTCACACTTCTCCATATCTCGACAGGCCAGAATGATGTTGCCTCCTGGAAGCCCGGGATAGGAAAAAACTAATTTTTCAATCCTCGCCCCAGTACAGAGAACAAACACAAATGAAAACACAGGTCTGCTCAAGAGTGTGTACACATGAGCCCCCAGCTGCGCTGTTCACGGCAGCCGAAAGATGGAAACCACCCCTGTGTCCATCAGCTGCTGAGCAGAGATGCACAAGGTGTTACATCCAGAGCCCGGAATGCTACTCGGCCACGGAATGGAACAAAACACTGACACATGGTATAACATAGGTAGACCTCATAAATGTGCTCATAAAATGTGCCAGTCACAAAAAGATATGTGGTGCAGGATTTCGTGTTTATGAAATACCTGGAACAGGCCGATCCACAGGAGGTCCCTGGGAGGGGTGGGAACCAGGGTGACCTCTCAGAGGACCAAGCTGTCCTTTTGATGAAAACATTTTCATCAAAAACGATTGTCAACGGTCATACAACTCTAGTAATACATTAAATGCCACTAGAGTGTGCACTTTACGTGAGCGAATTATGTGATGTGTGCATTAAATTCTAATATGGCCATAAAAGAAACACTTTAAAAAAAATTAGAGAAGTGAGAAGAACCAGGGATTGGAGGAGGACAGGCAGCCACAACACTGACCACATGGACCCATGTGGCTTGCCTGCCTACCACTGGGCCCAGCTGCCTCCTACACACCCCACTGCCCCTCACACGGTCCACGAGGGAACTCATCTGACCCCAGATCTGTTCATCCTCAGTTGCTACCCGGCCCCCAGGACAGCGGAGCACGTGCCCCTTCCTTGGGGAAAGCCCACGAGGTGGTGGGGATTGTCGATCATCACAGCCCCCACCGCTCTGACCTGAGGGGTGGACGGGCTGCTCTGGCTCAGCCCATCAGGACCAATTCCTTAGGCCACCCCAAACTGTCAAGCCCAAAGAACATTTCCCACCTCCCCCAGCTCCTGCACCTGCCCTGCCACCGCCATCCCGCCCCAGCTGGTGGCAGCTCTAGTCTCCTTGCTGCTCAAACCGAAATCCTTGACTTCTTGTCTGCTGCCTGATCCAACAGGTAATCCAGTGATTCCAACTTTGAAGGAGATCTTAGTGTGCCTAGAAGGGCACCCTTCCTCCTCTTCCATGGACTTCCTCCATAACCCCAGTCCCACTGTGAGAAAAACACTGAATGAACCTAAATTAAAGGGCCTTCAACAAAACACCTGAGTAGTAAGCCTGAAAGAGACTGAAACCTGATTCTGTTCCACAATCTCTAACCCCAGCCCCAGCCCCGCCATCAGGAGGGCCAACACAGAGAGAAAAATCAACACCAACAACCGCTGAGTGTCCGCAGCCCCCTCTGAGACCCAGAGTCTCCCCTGCCTCTTTCAGGGACACCAGCCTTTCTGGTGCAGGCTGGCATAAATCTGGCTCCTGCCCTGTGCAGCCCAAACTGGGGCAACCTTAATATCCCCCAGGAAACCAAACCTTCCACCCCAAACCTCACACGCCAAGCCTCAGCGGAAAAAGCACCTCTTCTGGCCAGCTCCAAGGCTGTCTGCTTCCCAATGCCTGTATTGGCGCCAGTCACAATGACGGTCTTCCCAGGAATGGTGGCCTTGCTGGGACAGGCCCCGCCTGCAATGTAGTCTCTGAAGATAAGAAACAATCATCAGCTCTGTCTGCACCCCCATCACACATGCCCCTGTTAATGATCTTGAGCAAATGACCCCACTGAGCTTGTGTTCCCCCAAAGGACAGATGGGAAGGACATCTCATAACTCCGTGGGGGCCAGTGTGATGATACAGGCAAAGGCTCAGCACAGCCCTGTGTGGGGAGGTGACACAACATGACAATCATTACTTTGTAAAGACCCACTGTATTGGTCTCCAATGGCTGCTGTAACGAATTACCACAAGCTGGGTGGGTAAAAACCACGTGCGGGTAATCAATAGCTCTGCAGGCAAGAGTCCAAAACAAGTCTCACTAGGATAAGGCTAGGGTCTCGGCAGGACCATGCTCCTCCTGGAGGCTCTAGGGGAGAGGCCAGTCCGTGACTTTTCCAGCTCCTAGAGGTGCCCATAATCCCTGGCTCATGGCCCCTCCTCCTCCATCTCCAGAGTCAGCAGGGCCTTCAGGTCACTGACTCTAAAGACCAAGGTGATCATGCTGGGTTCCCATCTGGACAAACCAGGATCACCTCCCCATCTCAGGGTCCTTAACTGAATGGCACCTGCAAAATCCCCTGTAACAGGTAAGGGAAGACCTTCACAGTTTCTAGCACTAGGACATGCACATCTTTTGGGGGAGCGGGGGGCTCTTACCCTTTACCCACATTCCCCAGAGGCCAAATATTGGAAACAAGCAAATGTCACCAGTAGGGGACTGACCAAGTAGGCAATGCCACTTCCATATGACAGAAGGGCCCTGTGCAACATAGAAACCGCCAGCCTTCCAGGGCCAATTTTTTTACTTTAAATTATTTAAAAATAAATAGCCATACTTTTTCTCCAGGACATTCAGCTACCTTTCATTCTGCCTATCCCATGCTGTCACTTTCTTATTGTTACTATTTTCAGCTTTGTCAGCCCTGAAAGTCAACAGTATGAATAACGATAAACCAAACCTGATATATTTTATTATAAGGGAAAATTATTTCCATCTGCAAAAGAATTATCTCCATTTTCTAGAACTTTCAAAAACACCTAATTACTATTACAGAGCTGGAGTGTAATGAATTATAAATAACAAGATATGGGCCAACCCCGTGAAAAAGACTTTATCAGATCAGGAGCAACAAATTCGCAATGAAGCCTCATCACAGGGCAGGCAAAGGTAATTATTCAGAGATGACAGTCTATGCTTCATGCCCTAAAAAAAAAAAAAAAAAAAAAAGAGGGGACACCTGGGTGGCTCAGTGGTTCAGCATCTGCCTTTGGCTTAGGTTGTGATCCCAGTGTCCTGGGATCTAGTCCCGCATCGGGCTCCCTAGAAGGAGCCTGCTTCTCCCTCTGCCTGTGTCTCTCATGAATAAATAAAATCTTAAAAAAAAAAAGAGTATTTCAATATTCCAATTACTTTCAGGCCTCCCAGCCTATCTCTTGTATTGTGTAACTATAATAAAATTACATATGTAATAAAGTTACATATTTTTCTTTTACTGCTGTAAGAACACTTAACACGAGCTCCACCATCTTAAGTTTTTAGGTGCACAGGACAATACAATATTGTTAACTGTGGGCCTCATACAGCAGCTTGGAGCGCTCAGTGGCCACAGGCGATGGCTATCATAATGGACAGCACAAATGTGAAACACTTCCATCAGCGCAGAAGGTCCTGCGGTCCTGCCGCAGAAGGTCCAGCATTCAGTGCTGCTACAGAATATTGGGGAGCTGGGTTTTCTGTGGGGTTTTTTGCGGGGGGAATTAGCCTAGGAAAGACAAGAATTACGCATATATCCCATGCAATACAATCCTTTCTTCAGAGATAGGCTATTCGGTTTGCATCTCTGCGGATAACGAGAGCTTGGGTGGGTTGCGTTTTCCTTGCACCGGGGCCACGTGACGTATGGGGCCTGCCCATTAGAAGTCTGCAGGACGTACTCGGTCACACTGACAAGCGCGGAAGTCTGGACCAGCAGACTTGCAAGGGCCCGGGCCCGCCCCTGCCCTCGGGGTGACCTTGGGCCGTGACCTGCCCTCTCGGCCCTTCCTAGGTGTGCCCCCCACGCTGCCTGGACCAGCCCTAGCCTGGCGACCACCGGGGCGGCCTCTCTCCCGCCCTCCGCCCACCTGCCGGGGGCCAGCCCGCCCACCCGCGGCGCGCAGGCGCGCACTCACCGGAGCAGCACGGCGCCACCCACCGCCGTGCCGAGCACAGACAGCGGCAGGAGGTAGCGGTTCATGCCGGGCAGGAGCGGGGGTCCGACGCCGAGCCCACCGGAGACCTGCCGCCTGGTCGCTCCGAGGAGCTCACGGCCGGCTACCCACGTGGGGAAGGACCAGCTCTGCTCCGAGCGGAGGCTTCCGAGAGGGGCGGGGCGATGACGGCCGGGAGCGGGGGCCCGTGAGGGCGGGCCTCGGCGCCGCGGCGGCCGGGAACAGGAGTTTCCGTGGTCGTGGGCGGGGCCGCGCCCTGGAGGCGGGGCGGGCCGAGCCTGCGCACTGTTCCAATGACGTCACGGTCACGCAGCTCTCGGCGTTCGGCTGGTGCGCCTGGGTTAGAGACCTGCTGCTTCCGCCGCCCACCGCGCTGCGGCTGGCAGGCTGCGCTCCTGTCCGCGCCTCTCAGATTTATCAGCCTGTTCCCACCTGACGTGCGCGCTCACCAGTAGTACCTTCCTCATAGACTATAAGAGAACTTGAGAATTTCGACACTCGGAAGCCAGGACCTAGTGGCCTCGGGATTCCCAAACTCCTGGGGCCCTGAAGGAGGAAATCAGGGCGTTAGACTCCTGGGTCTGAGGGAGGAGGGCCTGGGGGCCTGGACTCCTGGATAGGATATTATAAATTCATAGAATGAGTCATTATTTAATTTTTAAGAAATGAAATGCTGGCAGTTTTGACAACCTGGATGAGTAGCTAAAGCATCATTCTGAGTGAAAGAAGCCAGACACAGAAGTACAAGAAGGACAAGTATGACTCCAGTTATATGACATTCTAGGAAAGCAAGCCAGTAGAGAAAGAATGAAGATCGGTAGTTGTCAGGGCAGAGAGGGTGGAGGAAGTGATTGCCAGAGAGGTAACTTCTTCAGGTTTTGAAATCGTCTCTGTGGTAATCCTACTGGCAGTTACATGCATGACTACGTATATTTGTAACATGCTATCAGCATGTTCTCTTAAAAATAGTGAATTTTGTTGCATGTAAATTATCCTACAATAAAGTTGACTCAAAAGAACTGAAATTTTTTTTACAGTTTTGTTTTGGAAATCATTCGACCACAACTAACTGTTGATTTATGATTCGATCAGGTTTGTCTGCAATCAACAGACATATTTGAGAATTCTTACGAGGTAAGAAATATCTGCGTGATAAATTATTTCCAAATGCCCCAAGAGGTTTTTGAATATTGGATTAGACAACAAATTTGATGTGATGTTTTGTAGACATAGAATGAAATGTGCTCACTTTGGGTCTGCAGCTTTTGCAGTTTGGAGCTAAATTTTTTCTCTTGGACAGATGTTGCCTGTTTCCATAATGCTGTGAAAACTGTGAGTTCTGTGTACCCTCCCAGACACAGGGCACCCAAAGTGAACACAACAGCCATGGGTCCAGGGTCTGAGATTGGAGACTCAGCCTAGGAGTGAGGAGAAGGGTCCCAGAGCAAGGGATATGTAAATAGGGTTTTGAAGGATGAGTAGGAGTTCTTCAAGTGGAACAAGTGGAGAGGGACAACTAGACAAGTGTGACAGCATATTTAAAGGGTAGGAGTCATGGGGCAAGTTGCTTGAGGAGTGACACAAGTTTGGGATGGTAGGAGGTTGGCTTGCATGGGAAGGTGGCTAGCAAGAGATATGGCTAAAGGGAAATTTTATTTTTTTAAAGATTTTATTTATTCATTCATGACAGACACAGAGAGAGACAGAGACTCAGGCAGAGGGAGAAGCAGGCTCCAGGCAGGGAGCCCAAAGTGGGACTTGATCCTGGGACAGCGGGATCATGACCTGAGCTGAAGGCAGATGCTCAACCACTGAGCCACCCAGGCATCCCTAAAGGGAAATTTTAAAAAGAAAAAACAGGACTGCATGGGTGGCTCCATCGGTTAATCATATGCCTTTGGCTCAGGTGATGATCCTGGAGTCCTGAGATGGAGCCCTGTGTTGGGGGGGGAGGGGGGGTCCCTGCCCAGCAGGGAGCCTGCTTTTCCCTCTCCCTCTGTCCCTCCCCCTGCTCATTCTCTATCTCTCTCTCTCTCTAATAAAATCTTTAAAAAACAACAAGTCTCTAATAAGGAGAGCATAGGCAAATGGTGTAATGGACAATTTGCAAAGAAGTAGACAACACACACATGAAACTATTTGACCTACTAGGAATCAAAGAAATGCTCATTAGGATAATTACCTGGTGATATTTTTCACCTATGAGATTGGCAAGGTCACAACAATGCTAACATCAGTGTTGGCAAGGATGTGGTAACATAGGTACTTGTACCTCCTGGTGGAAGTATCAGTTAGTACAACCTCCTAAAGGCCGTTCAGCAATTCATGGCAAAACCATTTGTGCATATTTCCAACCCACCATTCCCACCATTGTAAGAATTTAGGCTAAGAGAGTAATTAGTCATTCGGAAAGAAAGATACTTAGGAAAATGTTCCTCAAAATACCAGAAGCAGGTATACCTGGGTGGCTCAGCTGTTGAGCGTCTGCCTTCAGCTCAGGGCATGATTCCAGGGGATCGAGTCCTGCATTGGGCTCCCTGTGAGAAGCCTGCTTTTCCCTCTGCCTATGTCTCTGCCTCTCTTTCTGTGACTTTCATGAGTCACAGAAATTCTGTGGCACAGAATTTCAGTTTTGCAAGATGAAAAGAGCTCTGGACGTGGATGGTGGTGTTAGTTGCACAACAGTGTGAATGTGCTTAATGCCACTGAACTGTACACTTAAAAATGATCAAGAGAGTAAATTTTATGTCTTGTGCATTTTACCATAATTAAAAATAAAGAAGGATGGGACGCCTGGGTGGCTCAGTGCTTGGGCATCTGCCTTTGGCTCGGGGCATGATCCCGGAGCCCCAAGATCAAGCCCCGGGATTGAGTCCTGCATCGGGCTCCCTGCATGGAGCCTGCTTCTCCCTCTGCCTGTGTCTCTGCCTCTGTGTGTGTCTCTCATGAATAAATAAATAAATAATATATAAAAATATAAATAAATAAAAAATAAAAATAAAGAAGGAGGAGGTCTGAAGAGGAGAGAAAACATGGGCACTGTATATTCAGATTCTGGTTCTCACAGCTTTGAATAAAGCATTTCCTCTCAGCCTTTGTCTTCTAATATCATCTACCTCAAGGGTAGGGTTTTCTGCAAAGGACAGGATAGTAAATAATTTCGTCCTCGTGGGCCATATGGTCCCTACTGCAACTATTCTGCCATTATAGCAGGAAAGCCACCATAGACAAGATGCACACAAATGAGCATTAGCTGTGTTCTAATAAAACTTTATTTACAAAAAATAAGCAATGGGCCATAGTTTGCCAGCTCACTGTAAAGTCTGGAAGGTTGACATACAGTCATTCACAAGAAGGACCTAACACAGTAAGTACCAGAACATTGCTGGCTGCTAAAGTAGTTATTATACAGGAAATAATGTATGCAAATTCCTTTCTCTGAGGACCTCCCACCAGGTTCCCAGACACACCCAAGGTGTTAAGAAACTCTCTTTGGACTCCAGGTAGGCTATGCTCCTCTTTATCACTGTTGATGTTCCTGAATTCTTGATAACCATCGGGTGCTGTCCCAGGTGCTGAGAGACCTCCCACAAAGCCCTCTGCTCTCCCTATCAGGGGCTTACAGCCCAAAATCATTCTCTGTCTCAATCTCCATCTATCTGACTGCTGTTCTTAGGAAATACATTTAAAGTTCTTTTTTTATATTATTTATTCATGAGAGACAGAGAGGCAGAGGGAGAAGCAGACTCCATGCAGGGAGCCTGACGTGGGACTTGATCCTGGGTCTCCAGGATCACACCCTGGGCTGAAGGTGGCACTAAACTGCTGAGCCACCGGGCTGCCCTAAAGTACTTAGGAGTATAGGGATATCAGGTCTGCAAGTGACTCTTAAATAGTTCAGAAAAAAAAAAAAAAACACCTGTGTGTGAGAGACAAAGAGAAATAGAAAGGATAATATGGTGTTTATATTCACCGTTAACCTCTGGGGATTCTGGGTGTAATTTAGAGAGTTCTCTGTATCCTTTTCTTTTCTTTACGTCTGAAATTATTCCAACATTTGATCAATACATGTATGAACCTCCAAACCACCATGAGGTCATGCAGTGTATGATTGCATTTGTATGAAATGTCCAGATGGGCCAATCCACAAGTTCAGAGAGAGAGGAATGGGGAGTAGCTGCTAATAAGTATGGGGCTTTATTTTGGGGTGATAAAATGTTTTGGAACTAGATGGAGGTGAATAGTGGCACAGTACTGAGAATGCACTAAATGTATTGTCACTTTAAGACAGTTAATTATATGTCAATACTTTAAAAACATATTGACCAAAATACTTCTATAGCCCTCTCTGTCTCTCTAATCCTGACAGTTACCCTGGGAACCCACAATCTGCTCTCATGATCTCTCTGACTTCATGTTCCACCCCTCTGCCCTCAACCCCTGTGCTCTAAATGTGCTAGCCTTGCTGTGTGTACACTAGACAAGCTCCCCTCTCAGGACCTTTACACTGGCTGTTGCCCCTGCCTAGAAATCCTTCCCCAGGTGTCCCCACAGCTCACTCCCTCCAGGTCTTCCCTCAATATCACCCCAACCATGCTATGAATTTTCAGGAGAACCCCCAAAACACCCATTGGACCCTCCCTGGACCCCTTCTCTGCCTTATTTTCCTCCATGGCACTGTCACCATCAGACATTCTAAACAGTTTACTTTTTACGATTTCTCTTTATTGAGAGAGAGAGAGAGAGAGAGAGAGAGAGAGAGAGAGGAGAGCGAGCACACTCACGAGCAGGGGCAGAGGAAGAGGGAGAAGCAATCCCCACTGAGCAGGCATCCTGACTCAGAGTTTGATCCCAGAACCCTGGGATCATGACCTGAGCTGAAGGCTGATGCTTATCCTACTGAGCCACCCAGGCTTCCCTAAACAGTTTACTTTTTTAAATTTTGTTTTCCACCAGAATATAAACTCCACAAGGGCACGCTTGGGGCTGTTGCATTCCCTGGTCCCTAGAACAGTGCCTGCTGTGGAGTAGACACTTAATAACCATTGGATGGATGAATGAATGGCTGTCTCCAATAAGCGATGGTCCCTGGACACCAGGACTGGGGGAACAGTTGTGTGCAGAGCTACCCCTTGTTCCTCAGGTGTCGCTCCATCATTTATCTCCTGGTTCATTGCTCTATTTATTTTTCATGGAGGCTGAGCTGTGAGCCCATTCTAAGCACCTTTCGTGTCTTTCCACACCTGTCTCCCCACTGGCCCTGTGGCAGGTGCTAGGACTTAGGTTTGTTTTAGAGGAAGAGACCCAAATAAACTGAGTCACCTGGTCCGACCCAAGACCTAAACTCCAGTCTCTGAGTCCCTTCCACTCGCTGCCCCCCCCTTCCGGGCCCCCAGGCCCAGCCCCCTCCCACCAGCCCCAGGGCCAGGCTCCCCCAGTGTCAGGAAATTGATCCACCCTCCATCTCTCCCAGAGAACAAACAGCCTCGCTCTCAGCCTCCCTACCCACCCCCTTCTGCCCCTCCCCCGCCAGGCACCTGGCGGGTTCTCAGACCCGCCCTTCTTGGGTCACAGTGCCTGCTCTGGGGCAGGCGGGCCCATCCCCAGATCGGCGGGGAAACACCTCACCCACCCTTCCTCTGGGCTTCCCCACAGTCCATTCAGGGCAGCCTTGAGTTTGTGACACCTCCCCAGCCAGACTCAGGATGACCCCATCCACCCACCCTGGAGTTTGGCCACCCTCTTGTTTGCTGTTGCCATAGTTGTCACCGTGACAGTCCTGGTAGCCAGTCTCCAGCCTGACATGCTCTGGCCAGACACAACCCTACAGCCTCACCTGCCAGCCTCCCCAAGGTATTCCCTCTGCCCCGAACCCTCTCTGCATTCCTGACTCATTCTTGAAATTCAGGTCAAAGCTCAGATGCCACCTCCTCACTGAGGCCAGCCCTGACTACCCCTCGGAAGTGACTATACCTGCTTGCACTCAGTAGCCCCATCTCTTCACCTTGGTTTTATGTCCTCCATGGCACCACAAGTCTTCCTCATGGATGTGCCTACCTGTTTACCTTCTGTCTCCCACCACACCCGCCAGGGCAACAATAACCCAAGGGCAGGGCTTTTGTCTGTCCAGTGCTCAGAACGTGCTTGGAACAAAGTCGGCATGTATTTGCTACTATGTGACTTTGGGACTTTGCAAATGCTACTATCAATGCTTAGACTGTCATCCCTTGCTGCATTGTCCTTGGGAAACTCCTATTTATCCTTCGCAACCCTCTCCAGTTATCACTCAACTGAATATCCAATTAGATTTCCCCAATTAGGGGAATCTGGGTGGCTCAGTGGTTGAGTGTCTGCCTTTGGCTCAGGTTGTGATCCCAGGGTCTTAGGATCAAGTCCTGCATCGGGCTCCCCACGGGGAGCCTGCTTCTCCCTCTGCCTATGTCTCTGCTTCTCTGTGTCTCTCATGAATAAATAATTTTTTTAATCTTAAAAAAAGGACTTCCCCAATTTTTTTAAGATTTTACTTATTCATGAGAGACACAGAGAGAGAGAGAGTCAGAGACATAGGCAGAGAGAGAAGCAGGCTCCATGCAGGGAGCCGGATGTGGGACCTGATCCCAGGACTCTAGGATCTGAGCCGAAGGCAGACACTTGACTGCTGAGCCACTCAGGCATCCTGACTTCCCCAATTAGACTCTCTTCTTGAGGGCAAAGAGTGGGACACACATGGGGTCTCAGGAACCATTACTTGAATGACTAAGTTAATTAACACGGATGTAAATAAGTATATCTTCCTGAGACCCAGCTCCCACCTTATTTATATCTGCCCCCAAACTGCCATATCTCCTATTTCCTGTGCCTATGACTGTCCACCCCCTAAGCCCCATCCTAGGAATTCATCAGCAAACCCTACAACTGGGGAGTCGGGCTGAGCTGTGTGTTTGGCAAGGAGGAGAAGGAAAGACGTGGGGTGCTTTTAGAGATGACATGGGGAATCTGAGCTGATCAGGCTCCAGTGGGGAATTGTGTGTGCTGCTGGGGCCCCTCCAACCCAGAGAATAAACAATCCAATCGCCAATGACAAAGCTATCCGAGTTTTGGGACAGAAGCAGACTCAGACCCACAGAGTCCTAAAGCTCACTTAATGAAAGGCACTGACTATGTTGGCAGACAAGGGGTTGAAAAGGATTCTCAGGTGGCTGGTTCCCCTGGTGAGTCTCCAAGACCAGGGTTCACTGCCTCCACCTGGGATGTACTGAGTCACACTGTACAGGGGTGGGAGCCTCCACTGGTATTTGGGAGCCATTTGCTATGGTTTGAAGAAAGGGAGGGCCTCCTTTGTGGCCAGAGAAGGAGGAAGGAGGCCGTGGGCCTAGAACTAGGGCGGAGGCTCTGGTTTCGATCTCACCTTCTCACCTGCTGCTTCAGACCTCAGAGCACCTGAAGGCAGGGACTGGGGCACCTATCCCTGAGCCCTGCCCTCCTCCCTCAGACTCTGCAGATCCTGGTCCACCAGCACCTCCTCCCTCAGACCCTGGAGTCCTGGCCCCCAGCATCTCCTCCCTCAGACCTGGGAGTCCAGGTCCCTGACTCCTATGGAACGCCTATATGAGGACATTTGCACATGAAGAAGGGGCCTGGTCTTTGTCAGATCTGCATTTGTGTCACCTGGCCCAGGTCCACTGTGACCTTGGGCTAGTGGCCTCCCCACTCTGAGCCTCTGTCTTCTGTGCCCGTGGGCACCAATCCCAGCGCTGCCTGCCTCACAGAGAGTAAGGGGTCTGCTCCTCTCTGCAGACCCCAACCCAGGCAGGACCAAGCTCAGAAGGTACTTGTGGCATGGATGGGATAAGGACCCAGCGTGGCAGAAGTTGGACCCTCATGCCTCTCCCTGCAGCTCCCTGGAGAACCACCTGGGATGTGCCCAGCAGTACATGGCCTGGCCAGCTGCCCCTCCCCTCCGAGGCTCAGGCAGTTATGTGGTCTGGAACACTCCTCCCTCATCCTTCAGGCCACCTCGGGCTGCCAAACTTGCTGGTCTGGTTCAGCTCCAGCTGCCCCTCCTCCTCCAGGAAGCCTGCCCTGACCTCAGCAGCACCCCCCCCCCCGGGCTTCTGCAGCACCCTTTGCATCCCCCATCACACCACACTATGTACGGAAGGAAAGCCCACCATCTCCACTGCTGTTGCTAACACTCAACCTAGCATCTCCTCATTGCCAGGAACTGTGCAGAGAGCTCTCCATAATGTCATTTAATCCTCCCAATGTTGTGATCCCATTTTACAGCTGGGGACTGGGGCACAGAAAGGTTCAGTGATTTGCCTAGGGTCACACTGCTAGGAAGGGGCACAGTCAGGAGGTAGCAGTGTAGGGAAGCTCCAAAGGATGTGGGGTCAGTCGTATGGCCTGGGTTCATCCATCCCCACCATGTATCAGCCAAGTGATTGTAGGCAAATTCCTTAACATGTACTTCTCCCCTTCCTCGTGTGTAAAGGGGGATAATGGAATCCGTTTCATAGGATGCTGTGAGGATTAGATGTGTGCACAGACAAGCAGAGTGTACTCAGAAGAAGACAGAAGCACACCCACAGTAGGTATTGAGTAATGAGTATTATCAACACTGTTTAATGGCAGTCAGAACCCGAACCCACACCCACCTGGGCTCTTTGCCATCACACCACACCATATGATCGTCTCTCTTTCCCTCTACTCTTTCATCCCTGTCAGCCCAGGACAAAAGTGTGCTTTCTCTGGTTTCCAGCCTCCTTCGGCATAGACTATGGGGTTAACGTGTGGTGAACAAAACAATGGAGCATAATACATATGAATGCACCAAGAGCAAATATCATTCCAGCACTTACTGTAATGTGCAGCAGAGTGCAGGGCTGAACTCACAGATGTCTTTGTCTTTCGTGAAACTTACATTCTAGTAGGAGAGACATAAAATAATCAAAATGAACAGGTAATACAGTATGTTTAAAGGTAGTAAACGTTCTGAAGGATAATTAAGGAGCAGGGAGAGAATGAGGAGTGGGAGGATAAGAGGAGCTACGATTTTAAATAGAGCAGTCAGCCAGGCCTCTCAGAGAAGGAATCCAAGCAAAGGCCGGAAGGAGGTGAGGGAACAGTCCAGGAGGATGTCTGAGGGAATAAGCATTCCAGGCAGAGGGAATAGCAAGTGCAAAGACCCTGAAGCAGGATGGGCTTTGAGGAGCAGCAAGTAGGGGGTGCACTGAAATGGGGTGATGGAGGCAGAGAGGAGGTTAGAGTTGTGTCCCTTAAGGCTTTGCAGAGAAATGGGAAGGCCCTGAAGAAACGGGAGCAGGGAGCTGACCCAGGTTTGTTCGGCCTTCCTGCACTGAGAGGGAAGGAAGGGAGCAGGGGCCAGCTAGGAGGCTCTACAGGTTCAGGTATGAGCAGATGAGGCCAGGAAGCAGATGGAGATCATCGATAAAGTGAAAGGCTGAAAGGGGCATGCCCACCCCTCCTCTGGCTCTCTCAGGTCAAGGCCGAGCTTGGAGTCTGTGGGCTGTGCTTATCCACTCCCTCCCTGTGACCGTAACCTCAGGCAAATCTCTTCATCCCCATGGGGCTCAGTTTCTTCATCTGTCAAACAGAGACCCCCAACACTCACCTGGCTGGGTTTCGGGAAGAAATGGCATGTATAATGTGGTCAGCAAGGACCAGGGCACAGGGGAAGTTCTCGAAAGAAGATGCCAAGCCTGAGGAGCTCGTTAGCGTGTGAGAAGTGCTTGGAGCTGTGTGGGGCTCCATCATCAGAGGGGTTTACTGGGGGGAATTTCCAGAGGAAGAGGCAAGGGCAGGGGTAGAGGCAGGAACAACGGATGGGAGGTGTGCACAGGGAGGGACAGACCTGGCCCCGGAGACAGAAAGGCAGGCCCGGGGGATCAAATCCCACCCCACCCTTTCCACATTGACCACTGTCTCTTACTCTTAAACGGCAAACAGGTACAAGTCAAACCTCTGACCTCCCAGAGGCATAAGTCCACTTAGAAGAGGGTATTTGATATAAACATCGGGGTGCAGGTGTCCCGGCATTTCATTGCTTCTGTATCTTTGGGGTAAATCCACAACAGTGCAATTGCTGGGTGGTAGGGCAAGTCTATTTTTAACTCTTTGAGAAAGGGAGACAGAACATAAAGACTCCTAACTCTGGGAAACGAACTAGGGGTGGTGGAAGGGGAGGAGGATGGGGGGTGGGGATGAATGGGTGATGGGCACTGAGGGGGGCACTTGATGGGATGAGCACTGGGTGTTATTCTGTATGTTGGCAAATTGAACACTAATAAAAATAAATTTATTATTAAAAAAAAAGAAATCAGAGTTGGGCAGCCCGGGTGGCTCAGCAGTAAAAAAAAAAAAAAAAAAAAAAAAGGAAGAGGGTATTGAGGCAGAGCTGTCGGCGCTGAGAACAAGTGTGACATCAGATGACTTGTCCTTGAGCTGATGTTGTTATGACAGAGACAGTCACAGTTTGTGGCTCCCCCGCACCCCAGCCCGGATGTCTGTGCCAGCCCCGCCCAGGGCCACCGCTGCTGGGCTGTGCCAGGTGAGTGCTCAGGTATGCGGAGGCAGAGGCGGAGTGGCCTGGAGGGAGCAGGAAGGAGGGGCCGGCATTCCGCATTCTGGACTCAGGGGACAGCAGAGAGCTGGGCCTCTCCGTGCCACCGCCACCAGACAGAGCCTGACGGTGGCAGGTGAGGAAGGGGCTAGCCAGGAGGGGCTGGAGGTCCGGAGTCCCAAGGAGCAGGCGGCCAGGACTCTGGGGTCCAGACACCAGGAAGGCTGGCAGACATAAACCCTTGAGTCCTGAAGAGGTAAGGGCTGGGAGATTGGCCCCATACTGAGGTCACAGTGTCTGAGGAATTGGATGAATGACTCTCTGAGGGGACTTGGAGCCTTTGGGTCCAGAAGCTCTGAGCCTGAATTCCTGGGCCCTTGAGGAGATGAGGCTGGGACACAGGATCACTGGAGAGAGGAAGCAAAGTGGGGTACACATAGATTAGGGAGTCAAATGCATTGATCCCTGAGAGATTTGGGGGGGCAGCATACTAGGTGAGGGAAGAGGGGCTGGGGGCCCAGACTCCTGGGTCTGAGGGAGGAGGGGCTAGGGGCCTGGACTCCAGAGTCTGAGGGAGAAGGGGCTGGGGGTCTGGACTACTGGTCAGAGGGAGGAGGGGCTGGGGGCCTGGACTCTTGGTCTGAGGGAGGAAGGGGCTGGGGTCTGGACTCCTGGTCTGAGGGAGGAGGAACAGGGGCCAAAATCACAGATACCTCAGGCCAGGTCAGTCCCTCACCTCTTTGATGGTTTCCAGGGCACCTCCAGGTGGCAGGAGCTCCCATTCTCCACACCATGAGCACTAGCACCGGGTAAGTGTCCCCTGTCCCCCAGGCTGCCCTGTCACCTCTGCTAGCCTTGTCCCTGCACCCACAACTGACATTTACGGCAGCCCAGGTCTGGACACTGAGAAGGAAGCCTGAGCTGCTCCTTCCCTGCCGGTCTATGTTAGAGCTACTGCTCCAGTGCAAGACACCTGGGTCCAAACCCAGACACTAACACTCAGGGTGGTGTGACTCTAACCAACAACCTGAGCCTGAGCCCCTCCTCTGTGAAAGAGGGACAATATGAGAGCCTGACAGGATAATGAAGGTACAAGGCTTATCTGACTCACAGCAGGTACTCCACTCACAACTGCCACTGCGGCTGTTAGCGTGTTATTAAATATTGACTCTTTGCAGGCAAATCTGGGCTGCTTTATTTTTTTTAAGATTTATCAATTTCAGAGAGAAAAAGCAAGAGCACAGGGGAAAGAGGCAGAGGGAGAGAGTATTTTAAGCAGACTCCACACCGAGCCTGGAGCCCTATGTGGGGCTCGATCTCATGACCTGAACCAAAACCAGGAGTCCTATGCTTAACCAGCTGCACCACCCAAGTGCCTCTGGGCTGTTTCTAATAAAGTTCAAGTCTCCTGGGGTGAGCAAGGAGAAGCCCAAACGGAGGCCCATGGGAATAGCTGCATGTAAGTTCCCCAGCACAGCGGTAATTAAACTGTGTGGAGATCTGACTGGCAGGAGAAGGATGAGGAGCAGAGATTTGATTCAAAGTATTTCTTGTCCCTCATCCCTGATCCTACCTGAGCTCTGAATTTCCATCATTTCTGTAGAATTCTTGGAGAAGTTGACTTAGAAGAAGAGGCCAGGAGCAGGAGATGGAGAAGGATTTGGCTGGGAAGAGCCTGGCCCACGGGAGTAGGAGGGGGAGATAAGTCTCTGTCTACACCAAATACTAATGCTGTTGTAAAAAACCCCATTTACTGAGCACCTACTGTGTGCTACCCTTTGCATCGTAGCACTGACAGTTAAGTTATTGAGGCTGTGAACCCTCTCAACTCTCCATGAATCCACCAACAGCTCTACCAGATGGAGGCTATTGGATAATTAACCCCTATCTCAGAGAAAAGGAAACCAAGGCGTGAGATATTCAGTCTCCTCCCCAGGGTCTTATGGCAAGACAGTATTGACAGAGGATGCCAAGCCAGGTCTGTGGGCAGAGGGACTCCCAATACTGGAACCACACACTCTACCACCACCCGGTACCAAAGTTACCTGTGTGAAAATCCAACTCTGGACCGGCCCTCCCCTGCTCAGAACCCTCCATGGTTCCCCACTGCCCTTACGATGAAGTCTTTGCTGCTCTGCTTGGCATTCAAGATCCCCATGATCTCCCAGTTCCCAAGGTCTCTCTCACTCTTTTTTCCTTATCCAGCCCAGAAGCTGCCCCCAAACCAAGTGCCAAGTCAATCTATGGTGAGTTTCAGAGCAAGAGAACTCCAGGCTGAAACTGGGTCTGAGGGAGGAGGGGAATGAGGGCCTGCACCCCAGGTCTGAGGGAGGAAGGGCTGGGAGCCTGGACTCCTGGGTCTGAGAGGGGAGGTCCCAGGGCAAGGGGGAACCATGGTCCGGATTCCTAAGTCTGAGGGAGGAGGGGCTGGGGTCTGACTCCTGGGTCTGAGGCAGTAGGGGCTGAGTCTTCTGGATTATTCTCCTTCTCCCCCACAGAGCAGAGGAAACGTTATTCCACTGTGGTTATGGCAGATGTTTCGCAGTATCTAGTCAATGTGAGTTGGGGTCTGCGTGGCCACAGGGAGTCTTGTGGGAGGAAAGGCAAGCAGGCCTGGGAAGATGGAAGTGTTGAAAGCAGTTGGGTCTCCAAGCAGAAAGAAGCTAGGAAACTGAGTTTGGTCATATGCAAGATGGGCTTCTGCCTTTGCTCAGAAGTGGGTATTGAGTAGAAGTCAACTCCACTTGAATCCAAGTTTTCCTCCAGACCAACTCTTGTGCTGGACAGTCAGGTCATGGGGACAATGTTACATATCCTCATACCAGTACAGGTCAAAGGGTGCCAGGTGCTCTAATGGAGGCAGAGGTGCTTAGAAGGGACTAGATATAACCAATGCCTTCAAGGAGCCTCCAGTCATGCTGGGAAGACAGGCCCCAGTGCTAGTCACTCCGATGAAAGCAAAACAAAGGAAACTCAGGGGCTCCATAGGTGGAGCAGGTGCCCCATAAGTGGAGCAGGTGATAAGGAAGGCTTTCCCAAGGAGGTGTGTTTAGTCTCAGGCTGGAAGGCTGATGCCAGGGGATGCTGAGCCCAGCTGACATTAATCTGGGACTCACTGCTTTCTCGGCACCACCGTGCCAGCACCTGGTGACATTCTGCCTGGGTGAAGAGGATGGCGTGCACACTGTGGAGGATGCCTCCCGGAAGCTGGCTGTCATGGACAATCAGGGCCGCGTCTGGGCCCAAGAGATGCTGCTGCGCGTGTCTCCGGACCATGTCACGCTGCTTGACCCCATCTCCAAGGTGCCAGGGGACACGTGGGTGGAAAGTGCAGCTGGCCTGAGTGAGCGGGGGCATGGAGAGCTTGACCCTCGGGACGTCTGAGTGTGAATATTGGCCTCTACATGTCCTTCCTTTGGGAACTTTGGCAAGAGATCTCCACCCCCTTTTTGAGTATTATTAGTCTCCCCTATTAAACAGGGGTGTTATCCTTAACCCCCTAACCTCGCAGGGTTTCCTATGCAGTGCCAGCGTACGAGCTGTCACTGCTGTCACCATTTTAGTACCACTGGTTCCAGGCCTCAGTTTACCCGCCATCCCACCCTGCAGGAGGAGTTGGAGTCGTACCCGCTGGGGGCCATCGTGCGCTGCGACGTGGTGACGCTGCCGGGCCGGAGCCGCTCGCTGCTGCTGCTCGTGTGCCAGGAGCCTGAGCGCACGCAGCCGGACGTGCACTTCTTCCAGGGCTTGCGTCTAGGGGTGAGCGGGCCTGGTCAGGGGAGCCCCCGGGGACAGGGCTGAGACCCTGTGGGTTCCCGGAGCGAAGCTAGAGCTAGGCGGGGCCTGGGGCAGAGGTGGGTCTGGTCACCGGAGGAGGCGGGGCCTGGAGAGAAATTCGGGAAGGGAAAGGGGTTTTGAGGTCAGGACTGACCTGGTGAAGGGCGAGACTAAGGGCCCGGGGGGGACGTAACAGCACATGGGGCAGAGGGTCTGGGAGCAGCCACAACCAGAGGCGAGTATGGTCTAGGGACAAGGCCACATCAGGACCCGGCCTCTGGGCATGGGGTCGAGGCCCAGGGCAGGGGCAGAAGTAGGGTGAGGGTGTGAGTTCAGAGGGTGGAGGTGCATGGGCACCGTGAGCCTGAGCGCTGACTGGAGGGGTTCTGGCGCCCAGCCCAGAAATCGATCCTTGGGAGGACCGTGGCCAGAGGTAGGTGGGGAGTGGGGGCCTGGCCTGATGACATGATTGGCAGGCGGAGCTGATCCGAGAAGACGTCCAGGGGGCTCTGTACGACTACCGGTCTGGCCGCGGGGAGCGCAGGCCCGCAGCGCTCAGGTAAGGGCGCTGGGCTGGAAGCAGGGGAGAAGAGAGGCTGGGTGGGGTGTCTGGGAGACCAGCCTCCCCTCTCTGGGCCTCCGTCCCCTCTCCTTCGGACAATGAGCTGATGCCCCTACCCTAGAACAGCACAAGTTTTGAAGCCAAACAGCCTGGTTCGAGTCCTGCCGTACCCCAGACATCTGCACCCGATCTCCAAGACCACTTTTCCTAATTCTGGTCCTCTGTTTCTCCTCCTTCGGGCCTCAGTTTCCCTCTGGAGAGGTGTTCCCCTTCCCCATATCTCCGGTTTTTTCCTCCCCTGGGTCTGACTCCGCTGGGCCGCAGTGTCTCCGTTTTAAGACCGACTTTATCCCCTGCCCTGTCCCCCGGTGGACTCAAGCTGTCCCCCTTTGTCCCACCACAGGGCCACGCAAGAGGAGTTGCAGCGCCACCCCTCACCGGCGGCCGAGACCCCTCCGCTGCAGCGCAGCCCTTCGGTCCGCGCCGTCATCAGCGTAGGGGAGGCGGGCCGGGGGCGACCCCGGGCGGGGCCCATCCCCGAGGTGGAGGAGCCCCAGAGACCCGGGCAGGAAGGGACCTCAGTGAACGCCAACCCAGCCTCCCCGGACCTGGCCAGTCTGCAGGCAGAGCGGGACGTGGTGAGGGGGGCGGGGCCAAGGCATGGAGGCGGGGCCGGCGGTGGAGAGTCCCAGCTTCAGGGGGTGGGGCTTGATGGGGTGTGGGAGTGTCAGACTTCTGGGGGTGTGGCTGGCGGTGACTGGAATATGAGGACCCGGCCGGCAGCAGAGGGAATGGCCTGGCCTGGGAGGATATCAGGGCCCTTGGCTGCGGGTTTTGGGGGTGATGCGGGGCCAGGACTCCACATCCCTGAGTCCCCCTGCTCTGACCCGTGCTCTGTCCTCCGGTTCTGTCCTCCGGCTCCGTCCCCCACACTGTCCCCCACGCTGTCCCCCACGCTGTCCCTCGCTCTGACCCCCACCAGGACATCCTGAACCACGTGTTCGACGATGTGGAGAGTTTCGTCTCGAAGCTGCAGAAGTCAGCAGAGGCAGCCCGGGTGCTGGAGCACCGGGAGCGTGGCCGCAGGACCCGGCGCCGGGCAGCTGGGGGTGAGAGGCTCCCGAAGGGAATCCTGAACATCCAGTCCCTCCCAAATATCCTCGCTCTCCCTAGGGTCCCTCCACACACCCCCTTGCCAGCTCTGACTCCCCATCCCTGGGGACCTCACTGGGCCTCTGTCTGTCTGACTGGCGCTGTCTCTGTGTCCCCGACACTGCACCTGCGTCCCCGACACTGCACCTGCGTCCCTTACCTGCAGAAGGTCTCCTGACCCTACGGGCCAAGCCGCCCTCAGAGGCCGAATACACTGACGTGCTTCAGAAAATCAAGTACGCCTTCAGCCTGCTGGTGAGAATGCGTGGGGTGGGGCCAGCGTGGGGCGGGGGCGTAGCAAGCCTGACCCGTCGTCCATGCACTCAGTAAGGCCAGCACCTCCCCGGCTCCACAGGCCAGACTGCGTGGAAACATCGCCAACCCTTCCTCCCCAGAGCTGCTGCATTTCCTGTTCGGACCTCTGCAATTGGTGAGCCACCCCTCCCTCCGCCCTCCGGTGGCCCCTGCAGTGGGAGAAATTGAGGTTTGACCTTGGTGGGCTTGATGGGGTGTCCACTCCTGCACCCCTGGCAGATTGTGGACACATCGGGCGGCCCCCGATTTGCAAGTGATGTGCGGCGGCCGCATCTGACGTCTGAGGCGGTGGCACTGCTGCGGGACAACCTCACCCCCCGTGAAAATGCGCTCTGGACCTCGCTGGGGGACTCATGGACCCGCCCGGGGTGAGGGGCTGGCAGGCAGGGAAGGGCAGCCACTGGGCTTCGCTAGAGGGTACAACCCCAAGCAATTGAAGAAGCTAGGGTGACTGCTAGGATGCCACTGGAGAGACGAGTAGACGGTGTGGAGGAGAGGTTTCAGACTGGAAAGAAAGGCTGGCCTTAGAAAAGGGGGTACAGCCTAGGAAAAGACTGGCTGTGGATTGGGGAAGGGGGTGGAGATACGCTTGCAGGCTGCGAGCCTCCAGGGATATGAGCGGAGCCAGACTTAGCAGAAGGAGGCAGGATGGGTGTGGAAGAATCAGAGGTGATTCAGAGGCTGGACACAGCATTAGAGCAAAATCAGTATATTTACAAATATAGTTGATGTCGGGGTGGAACTTAGAGGGGCTTGGCAAAAAGCAGAGAGGTCAGAAGCACCTAGCCTAGGGGCTGGGGAAGTAAAGGTGGTACTGGGGCCTGGGGCAGACTGGCAACCCTGAGCCCTCGGCCCCTCGGCTGCAGACTGGAGCTGTCCCCCAAGGAGGGACCTCCATACAGCCCTGAGTTCTCCAGCGGCTGGGAGCCCCCGGCCACCGACCCACACGGCCGCGCCTGGGAGGACTCGGTAGAGAAACAGCTACAGCATGAGCGGCAACGCCAGCAGGTGAGGCTAGAGCTTCTCTTCCCCGGGAGGAACAAACTCCTCCCCCAGGTAACACAGTGGGGCTGGGACCAGGAAGTCTGGCCCTGCCTAAGCTGCTGCTCTCATCTCCTGCAGCAAAGTGCCCCCCAGGTCGCTGTCAATGGGTGAGTGTCGGGGCCCCAGGTGGGACAGGTGGGGTCGAGGAGGGGGTGCGTCCTGGGGGCTCCTGGCGCTGACTCCACTCCTTTTTTCTGTCTTTCCTTCTGACTTCCCGGCTCTTCCCAGGTGGGTGAGGTGGTGACCAGTGAGGGCTGGGGGCTGGGAGAGGGGGGAGGGGGGAGGAGGGAGGGGGGAGGGGGCAGGACCCAGACTTGGGAGTCTGAGGGGGGAAGGGGCTGGGAGTAGGTAAAGTCTGAGAGGCTGGGAGAAGGCAGTTTGAGTTCCCATGGCCAGGAGAGCTCCCTGTGTGGGTCTTTAAGAGGACAGAGCCCCAGAAGTTAGAGGGAAGAGACTGGGGGCTTGGGCATTTGGGTTTTGAGGTAGAGCTCAAGTGTGGTGCTTTGGGGCCTTACTGAGCCTTCAAGAGCCAAGGGACAAGTTTCTGGGAAAGTTGGGAAGAGATAGTATTTCTGGGCCCCTGAAAGACTGGACCCTTACTATCCCAAGGCTCTAAAGCAACTGTCTCAATTCCTGCTGAGTGTGATACTGATAGCCTTCAGAGGTTAAAGGTTCGGGAAATGATGGCTTGAGACCTGGAATCCTGAGTTCATGACACCAAAAAGTAATGGGGGCATGGACTCTTGGGGTCCTGGGGAAGAAGGGGCATGGAAACACCAGGACACTACGGTCCTTGAGCAAGTTGAGGGCAGATGTGAGGGAAGCTCCGTGGGGTAAGAGGAAAACAAAGCAGCCAAGCTGGAGGAACAGAAGGGGGGTCTGAGTGAGGGCCCCAGGAAGAGTCTCAGCAGGGACAGCATGCTGGGAGCTGCCAGCCCCACACAGGGGGCGCTGCGGCCCTGAAGAGCCCCCCTCTCCTATGCACAGGTAGGCCTGATCCGGGCTGAGGTCCCTCTTATCAGGGGACCAGAGCCAAAATCTTGCTCCCCTTCCCTTCAGCTGCCTGGTCTTGCAGAACCCACCCTCCAAGCTTCTGATTCTTGGGCTTGACATCCCCAGCTTTTAACTTCCCTTCTCTGAGCCTCCAGTTCTTTGCAGAGACATTGAGAATAATAATAATCCCCTCTTGGAAGAGTTAGAAGTCTGAGGTTCTACAGGCGAGCAGTTAAGAGCTGCCATGGTAGAGCTCAGGTTCACATCCAGCGCCGGGCACCATAGACCAGATTACTCGGGACATGGTCTCTGGCGCCAGACCGCCTGGGTCTCAGTCTGGCCATGCCTCTTTCTTGCTCTGTGAACTTTACGTCATCATGCCATGTAACATCCCTGTTCTTCCACTTCCTCACCTGTAAAATAGAAAATAATAGATTCGGGAATGAATCAAGAAAGGACAGGAGTGGGGATGGGAGTCCAAACTCATGGTTATACCAAGGGTTGTGGCAAAAATCAGATTAGCCAATATGTGTAAGTCTTTGAATGGGAGCTGGCACCTACTACATGCTATATAAGGTAACTATACGTTAAATGTTGTTTATACGGTAACTATGGGTTTTCTAAGCCTGAGCTTAGAAAAGTATACAGTAGATGCTCAATAAATAGCTGCCTCTGGCTATATGATCTGGAACAAGTGATTTTCTGTCTCTGAGCCTTATAAATGTTCTCATCTATAAGATGTAAGTGATGTTAGTACTCCTATCATGTGCTTAAAGCATGGTGCCAGGTACATAAGGAACAAAATGCATTCAAGTTGTTATTCTGATTTCAAGTCTCTATTAACATTATTAACCTGGGCCCCCCCCCTGCCTTGACCCCTGCTTTGCTCTAACTCCAGCTCACACCAGTACCCTACTGTCCAGAGCAGTGAGCCCGGCTGCCTCCTTATCCCCAACCCTCATTCTCCTCCACAGTCACCAACAGCCAGAGGCTGAGCCCCAGCAGGAGCCGGAGGGGAAGTGGGTACTGTGTAATTATGACTTCCAGGCCCGCAACAGCAGCGAGCTATCAGTCAAGCAGCGGGATGTGTTGGAGGTTAGAGGGGTGGAGGGCCAAGGGGCTACAGGGACCCAGCCCTAGCTGCAGACACAGGCTGTGAACCCTCCTCTCCCTCCCTCCCTCAGGTCCTGGATGACAGGCGCAAGTGGTGGAAGGTTCGAGACCAGCAAGGGCAGGAAGGATATGTTCCCTATAATATACTGACTCCCCACTCAGGGCTTCAGGGAAGCTGCAGCCAAAGCGCCTCCTGCAGCCTGGTGAGCCAGGACAGACTCCTGTCTTAGGGAAGGAGGGCGGTGAGAGTCAGGTGCCAAGGGCAAGGGCACTGACAGAGGAGGTAGGGGGGGTGGGGGGCTCAGGAACTGACCTCTGGAAGGGGGAGGGGCGGGGACTCCATCCTCTCTCTAACCCGGGTGCTCCTCTGACTCCCCTACTAGGAGGATGGCGCTCCTCCTCCCCCACCAGCACCGGCCCCAGGACCGGGCTCCTCTCGGCCCCCCTGGGACAGTTGTGATAGCTTCAACATGGACCCCAGAGAGAAGGGTGAGTGGTGGGGGCAGCCCCTTGAGGGAGCCGTCCTTGTCCAGTCAGGGGAACCAAGGCTCAAAGAGAGTAAATAGACTCCCCAGCCATCGTGAAGACGCTGGAGACGCTGGTGATCTGTTCGTCCTGAATCCGCGCTCCCTCCCGGTCCCTCCTCCCTCCCCCCTGCAGAGAAATTCTCCCAGATGCTGTTTGTCAAGGAGGAGCTGCAGGCGCGCTTAGCCCAGGGCCGCCCGGGCCCCAGCCGCGCAGCCCCGGGTCCCCGCGCCCCGGAGCCGCAGCTCAGCCCGCACTCGGACACCTCTGAGGTCCGCACCTGGCTGCAGGCCAAAGGATTCCGCTTGGGGTGCGTGCCGGGCGGGCAGGGAGATGTGGATGTGGTCTGACTGGAACCTGGGGGACCCGGGCTGGCCTACAGAGAGGGTCTACCTGGTTGCAGTGCCTGGCACATGTGTCCAGGCGGAGTCTTCGTGAGAAAGCAGGGCGCACACACCCCGCCTCCTCCCGTGGCGCACTGGCGGGGGGGGGGGGGGGGGGGGGGGGGGGGGGGGCCAAGGATTCCTGCGCCTTCCCCGGGAGCGCCGGAATGCCGCTCTGATTAGGCAGACGGTTAGGCAGCAGTGATGTAATTGGCTCGGGGACCTGATGCGCCCCCGCCCCACATCCCGCAGGACCGTGGAGGCGCTGGGCGTGCTGACTGGCGCGCAGCTTTTCTCGCTGCAGAAGGAGGAGCTGCAGGCGGTGAGCCCCGAGGAGGGGGCACGCGTGTACAGCCAGGTCACAGTGCAGCGAGCACTGCTGGAGGTGAGCCGGGCCTGGGCCTGGGAGGGCGCCCCGGGGCAGAGGCCAGACTTCTCATTTCCACCCGGCCCTCCAGGACAAAGAGAAAGTGTCAGAGTTGGAGGCGGTGATGGAGAAGCAAAAGAAGAAGGTGGAAGGTGACCTGGAAACAGAGGTTATTTGACCTCCCTGGCTGCTTTGCTGAATGTTTCAAGGCAGCCTGTAGGAGAAAGGACTCTGCGGACTGCCCCCGCCCACGGAAGTAGACCCCTCGTGATGCTGCGGAAGTGTTCCGGCTCCGGTCTCCCCTGTCTCTGTAGAGTCTCCTGAGTGAGAGGATTGGCCGTGAGTGGGAGGAAGGGCCGCATGTGGGTGCCCTGTGCATTGTGATCCGCTGCCCAGTCTATAAACAGCCTCCTCAGTCTATACAGAGCCTCCTCTTAGCAGGCTTGTCAACTGCTGTCCCTTCTCTACTGGGCCACCAGGGAGCCCAGGAACCTGCCCCTCGCCCCGCTAGAGCCTCAGGAGGAAAAGGAGTCTATATGTCCCAACCTTTTTTGGTGTCTTGCCCTAAATCCTCCTCTCCTCCCCAGGGCCCCATCTCCAGCTTCCACCACCCTACCCCACCCCACCCCCCAGCCAGCAGTCTGTCTTCCAGTCCATTCCAGTCTCCTTCCCTGGCTCCCCACGGCCCCCAGAGCCCCAATCTCCTCCCCTCCCCCAACTCCATGCAAACCCCCCAAACCCCTCAAACCCCCTCAACCATTGGGGTTTTGATGTTTTCTGCTGGCTGGAACAGTGACTTTCTACCTGGCAAAGCCTACCCTCATCCCCTACCAGCTGCCAGGAGTCCAACCGCAAAGAAGTAGCTGCCCCCTGAATATGCCACAGGCTTCCTAGCCATTCCTCTCCTGCCAGGTGCCTGCCTAAAGGAAGTTTCCCAGCTAGAGAACAGCCAGCTCCTTTTCCCATTGTCCAGAGGGAGCGAGGCTGGTTCAGGACTGGTTTCTCTAGATCTTGCCCTCAGACTGGATGCCACCTGACCACAGGAAGAAGGCCCTTTTACTATCTATGTAAGCCACCCCATGATGCTCTCCACCATCAGATGAGATCAGCCAGCCATGGGCAGGCCGGAGTTCTGACTCAGCCCCCTGTGCCCCCTCATACCTCTCCTGCCTCCCCATGACCTCCTCATGACCCACCAGTTAAAGTCTAGGCTCCAAGCTTGAAGGCAGGCCCAAGCCCTACTGCACCACAGTCCAGCCTGTCAGGACGTGCAGGCTACTGTCCCCTCCAATATTCCCAGAATCTCAGTCTCACCAACGCGAGCTGCCATCACTTCTTGCTGAGATGATGGCAGCTGGCCTCGCCCTTCCTGTCCTGCACTGTCCTCCCTGGACTGTCAATGCAGCAGCCAAAGGGACCCGTTAAGACCCAGGACCCACCTCACCATTCAAGTCCTTACAGCTGGCTGTCACCTCTCCAGCCTCATCCCCGCTCTCTCTCTGGCCTCACAAGCTTCTCCCTGCACCTCCACACTTCAGGTACCCCTCTGCCCTATGGACCTCATCCCTGCTATTCTCATCATCCAGAAAACTCTTCCCTTAAACACTTCCATGGCTCATTCCATGACACCTGCAAGTATCAGCCTGTGCCAGCTTCCCCAGCGGGGCTGACTCTGACCAGCCTGTACAGACTACACCCAGGGTCAGGCTCCCAGCTCCCGCTGCAGCGCCTCCTGCTGTTTCTCCACAACACCACCACCTGACACCTTTCATGGCAGCATGCCAAGGGCCTCTCCTCAAACATATCAGATCTTTACCATTCCCTTTACTACTTATCACCACCAGGTAGGGCGGGGCCTGAAAGGAGAACATGACCAGGAATGAAAGAATGCCCCATCCTCCTCCTCAGCCCCAGCCACCTGTTATTATGCTGGACTCAACCACTCCTACTATCACATTCCTATTTTTCCAGAAAAATCAAAAATTCTAAGGTTTTTAATATGCATTACCCCAAATTTTCAATGCTGCCAATTGGCTCAAAGTTGTTGCAAAAGCACTGATATAAGACACCAGCTCCCAGCCTGACACAAACCCTGCCCTGCACTAGGCTACCTGGAGACCATGTCAGCACTGGTTTGGGGCCACAGCTCCAGCTAGCCACTCATCCTGAAACCTGGACCCACCCAGTGAGCACGCACCTACCCACCCCTCAGCACCACCCACCTGAGCCTACAGTGTGGCCACTGAGGAGTGCAGATGAGCACAGAAGCACAGCCCCACCTCCAGTCGGGGACACAGTCACTGAGTGGCAACTTCACGACTTTTATTTGTGGTGCCTGTGCTTTGTCTCGAAAATATCTTCTCCCCCTGCCCCTGACAGTGGGCAAGAAGGGGGCAGCAAAAAATAGAGACATCCCTCCCTATTGCACACAGATGGCCCAGGCTGGCGGGACTCTTGGCACATTCTCGGATCCCTGTTCAGGAACGGGAGGGGTGACCGGGGTGGCATCACACGTGAGTGGGGGACCTCCGGTGGCCACTCTGGCCCTGGCTACTGGTCCTGGCACTTCCTGGTCCTCGGTTCCTCCCTGGTCCCACCTCCAGCCCCAGGGCGCTCTCACCAATGTCCCCCTACCTGGCTTGGCCTCTCGCCTCTATCCTGGCCTTAGGGGGGCCCCCCTTGGCTCCTGGGACTCTGTACTCCCCTCATAGTCTGGAGGCCCAGAAGGGAGGCTATGGCTTCTCAGAGACCCCCTGGGAGCCCTGTCACTCGTGCTCACACAGGGGAAGGGATGCGTGTGGCAGAAGCAGCTGTATAAATACGGGTAAAGGGAAGGTTCTCTTCCAGAGTCACTTAGAGAGTTTGCTGATAACACGGATCAGGGCTGCGTTCTCATCCTTGAGCCTCTGGTTGTCAGCCCGGAGGTCGGACAGGGCCTGTGGGATGGGATGGGTCACAGCAGGGTGGCCCTGGGCCAGTGGAACCCACTGTGCACAGCACCCCCTAAGTCCTCACCTTTAGTTCCTCCTCAAGCTCGGCTGCCTTTCTCTCCAGGGCCCTGCGCTCCTGGAATAAATAGGAGAGGTGAAGCCCAGGGTCTGGGGTTCAGGGAGGGCCAGCGGTCAAAATAGGATGAGAAGGGTAGGGAGAGGTCAGAGGGTCACCGTGCCCTCCTTCAGACCCACATGGGTTTGTAAGGCTGGTGACACATCTGGCCCCCACCCCAGCTGCCTCCACTCACGAATCTCTCCAGCTCCAGAAGGGCCGGTCTCTCTGCAAAGCGCTCCTGCCTCTAGTGAGAACAGAGAAAGCACAAGGCTCAGACATCCCAACCACAAAGACCAGGAGGGGAAATCAGCATGGGAGAGGGACAGCAGTCCAGGCTCCTGGAGGGCTGGGTCCCTCATCATCAGCCCTGATCCCAAGGGTCCCAGCCCTGCCCCCACAGCCCGCCTCCCCCATCCCCCCTTGCTTTTGCTCCCCTGGGCATCCCTCATCATTCAGCCCCACCCCGCCACCCTGCCCACCTCCAAGACCTCAGCACCTCACCTGCGTGGCTCGCTCTAGCTCCACCTTGAGCTGTGCCAGGCGCAGCGTAGTCTCCGTCAGAGCCTCACGAAGCCTCTCATTCTCACTGCGCAGCTCTGAGTACAGCTGAAGGACCAGCAGTAGGGGGACAGGGTCAGGCCTGCCAGTCCCACACAGCTCAGCGAGGCCGCTGGATGGCAGGGTGCAGGGAGGTGGCAGGCTAAGCCGCAGAGAAAGGGCAGTAGGGCAGGTGGACAGAGGCTGACAGTTGGGGCAGGGGACTGCGAACCTTTCTGAAACCTCCATCAGGCTCTTCCGATTCTGGCTCAGGGTCCTGCACCCTGCGAGGTGAGGGGCCGCCCTCGGAAGTGCTAGGTGGAGGCGGGCAGGGCATCAATGGGGCTCCCTGCGGCCCTACATACAAACCCAAACCCTTCCCTGCCCACCCTGTACCTGGACTCTGGGCTGCGGTCGGCCGGCTCCGCCTCCTCCCCCTGCGGGCGGAGGTGGGGTTCAGCCTGATGCCGGGAGGGGAGTCTGGCCCACCACCCTGCCGCCAAGGCCCACCCATAGCCCAGCTCGCCCCGCCTGGGCCTTCCCGCTCACCTCTGCAGGCCCCCTCCACTCCTTGCCGAATTTGCGGTGCTCCCTGGCGGCCTGTGGTCCCTGACCCTGCCCATCAGGCACCTCTGCTGGGGGGAGGGGCAGGAATCAGCCCTGAAACCTGTGGAGGGGCCCCTCCCTGCCCTGTCAGGGTCCCTAGCCTGACCCCCCAAGAAAACAGAACAGCAGGATAGATGGGGAGGGGAGCGGGCAGGAGCCACCTCCCAGAGACCAGACCTCACCTCTCTGGGCAGGGCCTTCAGAATTCTCCACCCCAGGGATGCGAGGACGACGAGATGGGTCCTAGGGGACAGGGGCATGGAGGTCAGAATGGTCAGAGGACATGGGGTCTTGTACCACCCACTACCTGCTCATCTGACCCCTCTCACCAGGCTCTGCAGGCATGACTTCTCTGGCTCTGGGGCCTTCCCTGCTATCTTCTCGGCTTCCTTCAGGTCAGTCAGAGTCACACCCTGGCAGAGTGGGAGCAGTCAGGGGTCCTCGAGCTCAGGGCTAGCCCCTTAGGACCCAAGTCCAAGCCCCCAGGTCCTCCTCCCTTAGACGAAGGAGTCCTGGTCCCCAGCCCCTCCTTCCCAAGATCCACAAGAATTCAGGCCCCCAACCCCCTTTCCCAGGACCCAGGAGCCCAGTGCCCCAGCCCACCCCCACACCTGTGTGGACCTCCGAGACTGGCGCATGAGGCGGGAGCGAGCTTTACGCTGGGATTCAGACTCCTCATCCCGCACAGGCATCTGGTAGGACCTGAGTGAAAGGTCCCAACTTCAGGGAGGGTTCCTTTGCAGCCCGTTCCCGTCCCACCCACGCTGACACCCTTCAGGGAAGGTAAGTTCTGTCAGAGGACTTCCAACTCACAGCAACCCTGGGACAAACCCCCTAGGGAGCCCGAGACCCTGGGGACACAGCCCTGGGCCAGCTAGGTTTTCCCAGAGGGCGCGAAAGAGGCTTCCCACCCCCTGCCTCTTCACCTCCGCCTATCCTGGGAATCAGCTGGAGGCGCTATGGAGGCTACAGGGACATTTGGCTTCACTGGGGATTCAGACTCCGGAATCCTGGAAGGAGGAGTGGAGTGATCCAGAGGAGGACGCCTGGAGATCTCAAACCTGTGTGAATTCATTCATCCAGCAAATATTATTACTCAAGCTTGAGTTACATGGCAGGTGCTAGAGATACAGACAGCAGTGAGCAAAAGATGAAAAATCATCTCTGCCCCAATGAGTCAAACATGAACAGAAAAGAGGCAGAACAAACAATAAGCATAAAAAACCCTC